TTGAACCACAATTCAAAAGCAATGTCATGACTTTCATTACATTTTTATTTATTGTTACTTTTGTCATTTTCAACGTATGTCAGTGACAGCTGTTGTTTTGTTTGTTTGTTTGTTTGTTTTCCTTACTTTATGGGAGGGTATGAATTAATTTGAGGACGACTGTACAACCAGGAGCTTTTGGACGAAAACCGAAAGAGCCGAGTGGAGGACAAAAAAGCCAAAGGCCATTTTCGTTTCGTATTTCTGTTGGTGTTTATTGAGTAAAACCTATACAGACCTTGTGGCTGCTACGTTATGATCCTAGCTGTGCCTGTTCTCTATTTCAGACTTCCTACAACACTGTTTGTGTCTTCCAGACGGCCAACTGCAGGACTTGATGAGCGGAGAGCAGCTACCATCCCGTCCTAACTGATGGCGCCAGCTCAGGACTTGCACCAAGATATTTTTGTGTGTCACATAATGGAGCTAAATCTCAGTTTGAATGACTCCACTTAAATGTGCAACTGCAAGCAAAAGACAACGGTAACAGTTGTTAAACCGTGGAGGTACCTGCAAAGGTCGTCCAGTACACCGGAGGGTATCTCGGGTCTCTTTGTGTCCATGTTGGCTGTAAACATGCCGACCTCGTCTCGGAGCGGCAGCTACAACAGCTGCTCAGGCCGCCAGCTGCTCAGCATTTCTTCGCATTATCACTCCGGGAATACCGGCGTTACATCAGCCTCTCAAAACTACTTTATCTCAACGAAGAACTCTTCTGACTGCTCTAACAGGAACTGCGCCGAATCTGTTGTCTGTGCTGCGTTCAAGTCGCATCGGATAGATGAGATGTACAGGATGATGATGGTTTAATCGGTTAAGAGCGTCCTCGTCGTCAGTGCGGCTGCGCGATTACTGACTTTGTCGTGAGGAAAAGAAGTTGCTCGTGTGAGGATTTGAATATAATTTACACGACATACGTGTTACATATACATTTATATTTGAATACTAAAGTTCGAAATAACGATATTGTGAATTTGACTTGAACGCCGCGTTGCTTTCTAACCGGAAGTTAACCGTTCAATGAGCGCCTCAGAGTATTGTCACGTGATATTGTAATCCAATGGCAATTACCCGCGCTTGGCCCATAAAGAAGGCTGTGCCGGAATACCCGGCGTCGTGACGTCGGCGGTCCAAAACGCTTGATGGTCATGTGATTGTTCCCGGAAGTGCTCAGCGGGCAATTTGAATATGTAAATACAGAGCGACAACCCTGCCATACATGGTAATTGTAGTCAATAAGTTAATTGATTTGCAATATTTATATAACACACTGACATGTGCATGTATAAAATTCCATCAATGTTTTTTAATAAATGAATTTCACCAGTGTTAGAGGATTAGTGTAAACAGCGTGTGTTACCTGCGTTGTTGACATATTTTAGGTTAACATTAACATGGTTAAAAAGCAAGCTGCTGTTTATTGCTTGTATGTCAGTCAAGAGCTATGGTCCAGCAGCAACAGCTGTATGATGCAGGTGATGTCTGAGGACACTCATTGCAAATAAGTGGAATTACATTTATTTTGATTTATGCAGTTCTTAAGCCCTGTGCACTTAGCAAACACTGATACATAATGTATTCAAATTCATTACAACTTCATTGCCCACTTTTTGCATGAAATAGGGAGAAATTTGTCTTCCCTGTGCAGAAACTTCCTCTTTATATGGTGCATCAAAACATATTACATCCAGGCAGGACACAGCACATATATTTGTTTTAGGGCTGGAACTTTAATGCGCTAATTTCAATTAATTAACTATCAAAAAAATAAGGCATTTCATTGCACCTTTTTCAGTTGCCTAATTTCTGGCTCTCTTTCTGACCTCTTTGCAACATCAGAGAACACCCAGTATCTCCTTATTTTCTACCTGCAAAGCCAAAGTGCTCCTCTGGTTGTGGATGCAGTGGCTTGTGAGTATTTCAGGTTCTTCTGTGTGCATTCAGAAGAAGAATCAGAATAAATAATTTTTAAAAAGTACCTTATTGATCCCAGAGAGGAAATTTCTTATTGCATTCCCTACCGTAGCTCCGATTCCAAGTCCATTTGCAGAGTGCAGTCTAAGAGCCTGTCAATGTGTGTTATAGCCCCCACTGGCCATAGTGGTTGGCAAAGATAACCCAGCTTCTTTGTGTGGAGCTATGGCCTCTGCCAGCATGCACGGACCTACTGTCTCAGGCACAGGTCAAAGTTTTTAAACCCCTACTCAGAGAGGCTGGTGTTATGGGCCTGGCCCATGATGGTTCAGTTTAAATTATGTTGGCCTTCTAACAAAATGTCATTGAGACCATTCCGCGTGCAAGGGCTCCTTAAACAAGATCCCTTCACTGGTGTAATTGGGCTGTTTTTTTGCTTTTTAAAAAACAAACAAACAAAAGTGTTCAGACACTTGGTAGCTATTTTTGTCTGCAATATTGGTTAAGGGGAAAACGGGGGGACAGCACCCCTTGGATTGACACTTTATGAAAGGGGGCACATGGGTACTTTCTGTCATCAAACCATCAACCCTGTCCTGGGACCTCCTGTTGGCTCTGGAGGCACTTTTTGTTGAAGTAGAGTATTTCCTCTAATGGACATCCATCCATATATCCATTATCTATAAACTGATCTTCCTGTATCCAAGAAGGTTACAGGAAGATCTATGACCAACTAAAAAGGTATCCAATCACAGTAGTAGCAGTAATCAAGATGTATAGAACAAGCCAAACACCACTTATCTAAGCACAGTGGCCATCCCAAAATTATGGGTGGCAGAGACATGACGGAGGCAGAGGAGCTGGCCCTAAGCCAGACTTTAGGACGGCCAGTGGCTGAGGGAATCCCTGGAGGGAGTTTATCCTCTGAGCCCACCCCAAACTCTAAAGTGATTATTGCATATGGTGTTTCTGACTGCTTCATCATCCTGGATAGCTGACAGGTACAGATGCAGAAAGCTTTTATTGCCAAGTGAGCTCGCACACACAAGGAATTTGACATGGTGAATGAAACTGTGGTACACAGCAATAACAAGACAGGCAGTAAATATAGGAATCTAAAAAAAATCAATAAAATATACTGTATGTAAAAGCAGAAAAGTACTATGTAAATAAAAAAAAGTACTGTGAAAACGAGACAAACTTGCCTAAACTAGAGTAATAAATTAGAAAACTGTTTAAATGACAATATTGCACGTGAAGTTGAGGAATTGCACATGTAAAGATATTGCAGAGGTGTAACAGGAGTCTTTAGTGAGATAAATGGAAGAACAACACATGCCGCAACAAAATCACATCATTTTCAGATTTCATGCCCTGGTGCTCATTAGACTACAAGGTTACAGCAATCTGCAACTGTGTCTTCAGAGTTTGAACAGTTTGCTGATGCAAAACAGTCCCTAATAGATATTGGAAAGCTGCTGGGGTTTGGATGTTCTGCTCTCAGTTACACAGCAAGGATCGCTTAGGTGCAGTTTCAGATCAAGTAAAAATAAACCTTTTGTAGTTTGTGGTCCACTGTTTTTTCAGGGGCCAGTAGATGGCAATGTTGCATTAAACAAGACACACTACCCCAGCAGTACACTCAGTGTAATTTCGAGTCAAGACAAAGGAGATGGATGGATGGATAATTTCAGTATTGAAAAGCAGATTCTACAATACCTCCTCTCATCCCAGACAAGCTTTTTTCTATGTGTTTCACCCATTTTTAAGGCATTTTTTTCCTCGCTTGATATATGATGACAGACAGAGAAACAGGAAGGGGAAGACATGTAACAAAGGTTTCCATTTGGAATCATTTTGCTTCTCATTGGTTTAGTTTTAGTTTTGTTTGGTCATTACTGATATTTTCAGAATGCTTATTTTTGCACCTTCTCCCAGTTTCTTTCACACATTTAGCTGTAAGCTACATAACACAAGGTTTGTGGTTCATGCAGTTTTGTCAGGAAATATGACTTTCTCAGAGATGTGGATATTGGTTCCCAACTTAGAGAAATTCACAGCAGGTTGTGTTTACAAAAGTTGGATCTTTCAGCTCTTCTGAATAGTCAGGGTGCTTAGGAGGTCATTGTTATCCATGCCAGCTTCACTGAAATCACTCAGAAGATAACATGTTAACACTTGCACAGTACTTACTTTTGTTTTGACACATCAGACTTCTGCGGTGTTAAACTAAAAGTCAAACTTCAAAGAGATTCATAAAAGCTGAAATAGTAAAGATACAAAAAAGATTGGGCAGCAGTAGATGTTTGAACTTTTGGTCCTTCAAGTGTGGATCCTGATAGGAAAGCCGAGAGTCTGAGCATCTGGATGGAGTTCACAGGCAGTCGGAGCATCTGCTGGGATATGGAGTAGCTTTGCTTGATCCAGGAGCTCAGGGCACTTTTGGCAGGAGCTGAGGTAGCCAGGATGCTCAGGGTTCCTGCATAAAGTTGATCCAAGCTTCCTTTACTGGCATTGGCTATACAAAGGTGAATGCTATCATCCTTCTATTTGAGCATGGAATATAAACAAATGTCCTGTTGTCACCAGCATTGCGTGGAATTATTGTAATATTTAATCAGTACGTTTTCATAGCTAACAAACCACAGTTCTTCAGCCACATTATGGACTGGGTTTCCTAAACAAGGATCTGGCCAAAGGATACTCTGTAGCTCTTTAATTTAGGCTTTAGGAGTCTAACACATTAAATTGAGGGAAACAGAAATGCAAAACAGACAACTAAAACCAATAATCTTTTAAACAGTAAAGCATTTCGCCCTGTTTGGAATTACCTCATCTTTTCATCTGTATTCCTGTCTTACTCACCACATCCCTTGGTTTGCACAAAGACAGGTGGAATCTTAGCTTGTTGCTGCAGCCCCTCTATAGTCACTGAAGTTGTGGATAAACACATAAGGCTGTTTTGTTATCCATGGAAACTTATGGATGTAGTTCAAAGTTTACATATTAATGAATGCCATGTGAATTGTATATATTAGGATGACAATTACATTCAGAAATTATTCAATGAAAGTCTGAATTTATGGGGTGAAAGCTTGAATATACAAACTGAAAGTCTGAAAATTTGGAATGAAAGTAGTGTAAAACATTACGACAACATGGATTTAAAACGCTAACCGGACCAATCTATTGACAAATTTTAAATAACCTGATAGTCATCAGCCATGCCAAGCTCCATGTCTCTACCTTTTCTTAGCTGGTTGCTTCCTCTTTCGCTCTTCCCTTCTCCCTCTGGGTGTGGTGAGGGTTTTATTTTGGTTGATATTATGATAACCAACTCAAGCTGTAGAATTGCGACTGTAGAATCCAAGTAATTCAACAGGTGTTTTGCCAGGCTAAAACGGATCTGTCATCCCGTCCAAAAACTTTCTCTAAATTCTTAGTTCCCACAAGCATTTTTACAGCAAAGGGGAAGAGAAACGGGTTTGTCTTGTCGGCATCATGTAGTGGTCAGAAATTACTTTGTGCAGTTTTAACTTGCATCATCCAACAGTAAGATAGAAAGTTAAAATTGGTGCACTGCAAAGACTAGACGATGATTGTTTCCCTGAAAACATCTTAGGAATTAGTCTTTAATGGGCACATTGCTGTTACTGCATGTAATGGGAATTGTTGTATTTTGTGCTTTCTTTTATTCTTGCACTTCAATGATGTGCTGCCTTATACTAGACGAGTGGACACCGGTTGAGAAAACTCTGGTCGAAAAAGTCTTGATGAGTAAATGCTGCATGAGAGCCACAGAGACTAAATATAATATTTAATGTGGCACACAAAAAAGATG